AGCATCTGATTCAGCTATCCTGCTCGTGTGAGCTGATCCCAAACTGGAGCTGATCCCAAACTGGAGCTGATCCCAAACTGGAGCTAATCCCAAACTGGAGCTGATCCCAAACTGGAGCTGATCCCAAACTGGAGCTAATCCCAAACTGGAGCTGATCCCAAACTGGAGCTGATCCCAAACTGGAGCTGATCCCAAACTGGAGCTGATCCCAAACTGGAGCTGATCCCAAACTGGAGCTGATCCCAAACTGGAGCTGATCCCAGCGTCTCCAGGAGACAAACCAGTAAGGAAAAAGTATGTCATGGTCCTGCTGTCCCACCAGTCTAGAGGGCAGAGAAACAGAAGTCTCCTACAAAATAAAAGTCCTCTATGAATCCATAGCACAGCTTATGGTTTCCCGTCCCCGCCAAGCTTTCAGCATTCTCATAAGAACAAACATCAGGAAGACCAGCAGCGCTCTGGTTTCACGAGGACGCAACGCTAAAACACGAAGACTGGTGGTGGCTTTTGACTTAAATCTCCGCTGATTTTCATCGGAACCGTTTTGGTTCCGTGGAGGAAAGCTGCTGACGGAAGTCGGCTTTTATCTAAAGCATCAGACTCGTTTGGATCTCTTTCTGGCTCTCACATGATGTTCATGCAGGTTCTGCCACACGGCGAGCCTCTACAAGGGCCACATGTGGCCCCAGAGCCACAGCTTGCAGACCTCCGCTTTAAAAGTTCTGGGTGGGACTCAAAAGGACATCTCGGAGGACAGACGAGATGAAGATCTGGTTCTGAAGCTGCAGTCCAACTGTCCAGCTCCTCCTGGTGGATCCAGATGTAGAGAGGGCGAGCTCTGAGCTTCCCTGGGGTCTCCTCCTAGTGGAACATGGGAGGAGACCAGCTCAGGCTCTGATGAGGAGGAGCATCAACTCTGAACTCCACGCCCTGAATTCCCACAGAAGTCTGGTTCCTGAGATCTTTCCCTTGTTCAAACATCTCAAATCAAATGCTCTCAGTAGGATTGACATCGTGGTGTCACCGTGCTTCTGCTGCAGCGTGTCACCTACACACTCTTATTTCTTATGTACAGAACACACTTCCTATGGACGCCGAGGGTTCTCCGGTAAAAAATGTTCTCAGGAAGACAAACCTGGCTAAACCAAATCATTTGTTCTTTATAAAACACGGCAACAGCTGAAGGCTTCACTTACCTCCGGCTAAATGCTGGTTAAAAAGTTACGTCAAAGAACGAAGAGAAACCTTCTCAGCCGAGGGTTCTGATCATCGTTCTGTTGGTTCTAGAAACGTCACATGAGCCCGAGTTGCTGTCAGCGGCGACACAAACCCAGAAAGTCTCTGGTCATGGGAGGAGTGGTTCCAGTACCGCTGGGATCTCTAAACAACACGTCTGTGTTTATTCTGAAGGTTTATTTGGTCTTGAGGACGGCTGCTGACTGTTGCCTCAGTCCGAAACTCAAGAATGACTCCATACATCAGTAAAAACTTACGTTAGTTCCGTTATTTATTTACCGTTAGCTTTTAAAAATGAAACAGTTGTTCACATTTGTTTTCGTGGTTAAGAAGGGTTATTAACTGGTAAAGGTTTATTTAAATAAGTGTACCTTTTAAATGTAATTTTATACTTTTGTCTTTATTAGTTTTTATGTATTTTACAGCTTGTTTAATCAGAAAGCCGACAGCTCTGTTCTGCGTATTTATGACTTTGTCTTTTTACTTTGCTGTAAAGTTGTGTGTGTTGTGCTTTGAGTATGAAGAACGCGGTGACTTTGATGTGATTGTACTAACAAATATTGAGTTATGTTAACTTAAACATCACATGGTCTTGGACTTATTTTATTAAGTTCTGTTAACTTAAGTTCTGTTGACACGATCACCTGGATTAAAACGTCAAACTTGTAAATCAAAATGTTTCAAAAGACTCAAGTTGGCCTGATGAGCATTTTTAATTAAACCGGAATTGAAATATATAAGTATGGTTAAGAGATTTAAGTTCTGAAAACTTAAAAAAAATCAATGTCAGAAAAGTGGTTTCAGTAAAAAATTTTAACTCAAAATCGACAACACCTTCTTACTGTAAAAGACAAAAGCTGCCTGTAATTTTTCGGTCCCATTCCGGCAATCCCAGCTGCCGGAGTTTTACCGTAAAACCTACGGTGGTTTTTTTTTTTTACAGTGCAGGAGTCATAGAGGTCTGATCCTTTGGACTGTGGGGAGATGAGGGGGTTGCGCCCTTAATCCTCCTCCAACCACTCTGCTGCTGTCGCTGTAGCTCCTCCCCTCTAACATCACGCCCCACCTCTTCATTTCCTCTATTTACTAAATAATCTGAACCAAGAATCACGCTAAATTCATGGAGGTGCAACACAAGCCCGTTTCACCCCCTCCGGTCAAAATAACGGGGTCTTCAGAAGAGCGGCGCCAAGTCCTGCCTGGGGAATAACAATTAGTAGCAATTACAGAAGGCTTGGAGGCCGGCCGTGCAGCTGTCAGCAGGACCCGGAGAAGGTGCCGCTGCTTCATTTGCATCTGAAAGCTTCAATAAGGACATATTGTACTGCGAGTGGCGCAATAATAGGCTGTGCAAAGGCAAAGGGATTCATTTGGGGAGGGGAGGGGGATGTGGCTGGTGATTTCTCCTCTTCCTCAGCCGACTGAGAGGAAGGCTGATTTCACCAGCAGACAGATGCAGACGGAGGAGGAATTTTCTCCCAGTTTTACAGAAAAACAGCCGCTGTATTTAAAAAAAACCTCATTTTTAATGAGTTTCACGTTTTATGGAGACTTAATTCAGATGAACTGATCCGAACTCTATTCTTTAATTAACAGATCTCAACTTTTCCGATTCGGATTTACGAGTCTACGACCCGCAGATTTCCTAGCGGAGATCAGCTGATCGGGCTAATTACTGGATGATTACGATCAGCAGCAGAGTCTGGGTGTGCTGCTGCTTTTCCTCGCCTCCCGATGGGAAGGTTGTTCACCTAAACCAGATAAATAACCGTTTATTTATATGGTGGCTCAGACGTTAGTATTGTTGAACCTTTAATATCCCGTCGACACAGGCAACAGGTACTTTGGGTACGCCAGGAATCCAGCTCTTAATAATAATCAGACACAGGCAAAAATATACGTTATAAAATCTATGTGTTACTATGTTTCTATGACTAATGA